AGCAAAGGTGAGGCGGGGAGGAGGTGCGACGTGTGTAGCGTGGATGCTGGCGGGTCTGGCAGTGGCAAGCATGAGGCAGGGAGGAGGTGCGGAGCGTGGATGTGGGCGGGCAGGTCTAGCAGTGGCAAGCGTGAGGCGGGGAGGAGGTGCAGCATGTGGAGCGTGGATGTGGGCAGGGAAGCGTGAGGCGGGGAGGAGGTCACGCGGCGTGTGAAGCCGTGAACAGTGCCAACTAATCTAAAGCTGATTAATCAATGATTAAAAATGTTGACAACTTTTTCAATCATCGATTATAATCGACTTAGTCGATTAGTTGTTGCAGCCCTACATTCATCCCCAGTTTCTAGGGACATTCTCCGGATTGAGGAGACCATCCCCAGACAAATTATGTCCCTGGGAACATAAAACAAACCATTTTTTTTTTTTTTTTTTTAATACTCACCTGATCCCGGGAGTCATGCTATATATAAGATATTCCAACCACTTAAGGCAACACATTTTTTAGCTTGGCAAGATACATACAGTAGGTGCGAGTTACTCAAACCTGTACAAAAAGTTTCACCAACCCTTAATGTTTTAGATATGTGGTTTAGTTACCTTTTTAGATATCTACAAAAAATAAACAGGTCTATTCACTAAAGGGTGAAGACTTTGGAGAAGGCAGGAGAAGTGAACAATCTAGGGCAACATTGCTGAACTGGAAAATGTATCCAATTCAGCTCACTTGCCAGTTCAGCCATGTTGTCCTAGATTGTTCACTTCTCCTGCCTTCTCGAGGATCGCCACTGCTCCTTTCATACAGGTGATCTAATCAGATCACTTGTATGAAAACGAGCGGCGGCTCCACACTATACATTTAGCTCAGTTTGTCAGGAGCAGGGCTAAAACATACAAAAAAAACTACTCGCCCGAAACTGCATGTCCGGGGCGTCGGGCGATAGGGATTCCCTCAGCTCTCACATTCGCTCCATAAGACGCACAGACATTTTTGCCCGACTTTTAGGGGGGGAAAAAAGTATACTAATAT